GGCCGCCATTGAAGAACTTCATTGCAAGATGGCCGCCACACAATAGTCTTTTCGCAAAATGGCCGCCCTTTCAGAGTCTCGTCACGTCTCAGCTGATCTTCCAGAGTCTCGTCACGACATGGCCGCCACGCCTGAGTCCCCGGCCAAGATGGCCGCCACGCCTGAGTCGGACACGGAGCTTGGGCTTGGACTGAAAGGTCTCATTGCTGAAAGGTCTGACAGTGCTCTCAAGCCCAACGGTCCCAGAGGTCCTGCTGCCCTCACTGTAATGGCGGTTGCCATTTTAAGCGTGTGGGCTGTACATTGCGCTCAAAAGGTCTCTCATGTCCATAAATCTGCTCCGGAGGCCTTTCCTGTCCAATAATCTGCCCCGGTGAACTCTTCTGCCTATGAGTCTGTCTCAGAGGCCTCTTATATCCATGAGTCTGCTCCAAGAGCCATTCCTGTGCATGAATCCACTGCAGAACCTCCTGAGGTGGTGGCGTCCACTCACAAACTAACTGTCTGCCCTGTCACGGCCACAGAGGCTGTTCACAAACTCACAGACAGTCTTGTAGGCCGTTCATGAACTCACTGCCTGCCCTGTCACGGCCATGGAGGACGTTCATGAACTCACTGTCTGTCCTGCCATGGCCAAGGAGGCCGTTCATGAACTCACTGTCTGCCCTGTCATGACGAAGAAGGCTGTCCATGAATTCACTGCCTGTCCTGTTACGGCCAAGGAGGCCATTCAAGAACTCTCTGCTTGTTCTGTCTCAGTCAAGTGGTCTGTCCATGTCTCTGCTCCGCCATGGCTTCCTGCTCTGCTGTCACCACCCGACCGCCCTGCTCTGCCTGCACCGCCATGGCTGCCTGTTCTGCCTGCTCCACCATGGCTCCCTCTTCTGCCTGCTCCGCCATGGCCCTATGCTCCTCTGGATCTGACCTGGTGGTCTCTTTTCCATTGTCTGTCATTGCCCCATGATCCTGGTCCACCACTGCTCCTAGCTCCAGGCCCGCCATTGCTCCACACTCCAGGTCCTGTTCCTCTTCATGGGCCTGGCCCTCCGTCCCTCCCCCAGTTCCGCCTCCACTCCACCACCTTCCTGGACATGTTGGATTGGACTTAGAGGGGGGGGGTGTAATGTGGTGTTTGGGTTTGTTTCATGTTCTTGCTTTCATGTCTTTTATTTTTTAGTTTGATTCATGCTGTCAGTGTCATGTTTCCCTTGCCCTCATGTATCTCTGCCTTGTGTATGTGTCATGTTCTCATTGGTTATTGTCTTTCCATGTGATTATCAGTTCTGTTTTCTGATTGGTTGTCTTAGTCATGTGTCTTGTTTCCCATTGGTTTGTTCTTGTCATGTGACCCTCATTGTCTGCTATAAGTATCCATCATGTTGTCATTGTGCCTTGTCGTGTATTGAAGTTGTAACCCGCTATCGGTGAGTCTAGTCTGTTTGTGCCTCGTCAAATCTATTCATGCCAAGTCAAGTCTGTTCATGCCTCGTCAAGTCTGTGTATCTTGTTTGGATTTTGGGTTTCACCTTGTTTGAATAAAACTGCACTTGGGTTCTCACTACGCTCGCCTTCAAGGGACTGATTCATTACATTGTGTTAAACTGTAATTTTTCATTAATATTAAAAAAGCCAAATTTTTCTATTTTATAAATTCTAAATGAAGACAAAAACTTATTTTATATACCATATAACATTTTTTTAATTAATTATTGTTTTGATTTTAAAAAAACAAACAAAAAAAGTTTTTTGCAGTAGTTTTGTATAGTTAGAAGGGGTCAGTCAACCAAAAAGAAGATGAAGAAAATAGATATTTTGAATGAATTTAATGAATGAATTGAATGAATGAATGAATGAATGAAAGAATGAACGAACGAATGAACAAATGAATTAATTCTATATATAAAATGAATGTCATTGGTGTCCAATATTGTTTGGACCCCATTGACTATTTTCATGAAGAGGGGAGAGAGAGAGAGAGTGAGAGAGAGAGAGAGAGAGAGAGAGAGAGAGAATTTAAAACAAGGGAAAAAATTCTATATATTTTCCATTTCAAAGAAGAACAAAGTATTTGATTTTTGGAACTATTTCTTGAAGAGAAAGGGTTTTTCAGAATGCCTGAGTATTAAATCTCAATCAAACATAAAACAAAGTATCAAAGTTACACACATGAACCTCAAACTTTGTGATTTGAGTAGAGTTGTGCTTTTTTAAGCAATAAGATGGACCTGAATAATAACTAGAGTTTGTAATATTATATTGGGATAGACTCTTTTCACCTGAATGTGTTAAAACACTCAGAAAACTTTAGCAACCACACAGGAAGTGCTTCTTCATGAGTGAGTACCACTCTACTGAAAAGTCTAGTTAAATTTTCACTTGTGCTGTGAAAAAAACAAACGAAGAAAGGAGACGAAACACTGCCGTACACTGAAACTTAAATTGTTCTCATAGCTGGCACTGAACGTTTCCACAGTTTGAGGATGAAAATCTCCCCCACACGTTAAATTATCCACAAGCGTTGACTTTGATCCGGGAGGGGGCCGCGATGGAAGCCGCTAAACTCTCAGCGCTACAGTTTTGGGTGCCCTCATTTCAGGGCTGAATGTATTAAGGAATAGTGACACGATCAAGGCTGTTTTTCATACTGGTCCCGCTGATAAAGATGAAAGCGTCGAACCAGACGAATGCGTCCCGGCGAGATCCGCACAAACTTTTAACATACCAACTGCTGTGATGCTTCTGTAGAGCTTTTCAGTGAAAGCAGGAAATTGAGATGACAGGGGAAGTGAAGGAGGTGGAGAAAGATGGGCTGCCCTCAAAAAACTGAAAGAGGAGCTCTCAAGGAAATGATGAGGACGCATATCTTTTAGCGCAGGTCAAACTAGGTGATGTTTTCAATTTTGACTCTCTGCACAGTCCAGCGAGCAGCTCTAAATGTTGAAACTGAACACTTCGCTCTTCTAATATCATCCCATCAGTGATATTGAGGCCAAATGACCACTTGGAGCCTTTTTTAACATGAATGAAACTAGAAACTAGATTGGTCAAGGTAATGAAAATGTAATGAAAGTAGAAACATAACTGGTCAAAATGCATATAAGTATGTGACAGAACATAAAAAGGGGAAAAACATTCTTCCGGCACAATGGTATTGGTTAAAGAAAAAGTTACAATTAAGTACAATTTACCTTGATCTTCATATTCAAAAAGTTCTCATAAAGGCTCTTAATGCATCGTGTTTCCTTCTGGAGCATCAGTGAATGTTTTAACCTTTTTTAATAGTTGTGTTTGAGTCCCTCAATTGTCCTCAGTTTGAAAAGATGGATCTCAAAATCATACAGTCACTGCTGGAAAGTGTTCAAATATGCAAAAGATGCTGGAAAACTGAAGAATCTGCAGGACATGGAGGATTTTTCATGGAGGAACAATGGTCAGTTTAACTGTTCAGAAGAAACAAGGGACTCATGAACAACCATCACAAAACAAAAAACAGTCGTAGATCATCCAGGTAACCACACACAGTATTAAGAACCAAGGGTTCCCAAACTTTTGAATGGGGTTATTTTAATAATTTAAGCAATTTTTTTGTCTTGTGGACTATATGTAAACATCTTTTATGTAAAATATCTTACTCAGGACAGTACTAAATAAAAAAATAACATGCATTTTGTATGATCTCTCTTATTTTGTTAAAATTATTCACATTTTCACAGATTCTGCAAGGGGTTCCCAAACTTTCGCATTTCACTGTACTATATATACAATTTAAAAAATAGCATGGATATATAAGAAAAAATCAAACAGTTACTATAAAGTACAATAAATAAAAAAAATTAAATAAAAATTATGAAACAGCATACATTAATAATTTTAGAAATGTGAAAATTTTTGTACTAAAGAGTATTATTATATACAGTATCTCACAGAAGTGAGTACCCCCCTCACATTTTTGTAAATATTTTATTATATCTTTTCATGTGACAACACTGAAGAAATTACACTTTGCTACAATGTAAAGTAGTGAGTGTACAGCTTGTATAACAGTGTAAATTTGCTGTCCCCTCAAAATAACTCAACACACAGCCATTAATGTCTAAACCGCTGGCCACAAAAGTGAGTACACCACTAAGTGAAAATGTCCAAATTGGGCCCAATTAGCCATTTTCTCTCAATAGACATTAATGGCTGTGTGTTGAGTTATTTTGAGGGGACAGCAAATTTACACTGTTATACAAGCTGTACACTCACTACTTTACATTGTAGCAAAGTGTAATTTCTTCAGTGTTGTCACATGAAAAGATATAATAAAATATTTACAAAAATGTGAGGGGTGTACTCACTTCTGTGATATACTGTATGTATACATATATATATATATATATTAACAGTGTGTCTGTTTATATATACACACATATATGCACACACAAACAGTATTAGTAATGACTACTGTATAAATATTACTATATAAAAATAATAATAATAATAAAACGATAACAGGAGTTGATGATGGAGGGAACTTTCGACCTTTTTTTTTTTACTAAAGATTACTATATTACTATATATAATTAATATATCCTATTATTAAAGATTACTATGTCACTAAAATATTACAAAAACATATTGCAATCACACAAGACACCTGTCACTCTTTGCCTCTTAAACTTTTTATTTTCAAACTTTTCCTTTTAAATTTTCACTGGTAGAAAAAACAAAAAACAAAACAAAACAAAACAGCAAAAACACCTAAACTAGTTTAAATCAAGACCAATAAAAACCAATTAAATCAGTTAAACCAATAAAAATACTGAACCAGTCAAGACATTGCATCTCCAACAATGACCATCTTGACTAGCTTGTACACTGTTCAATGCTAAACACGGAACGTAAACCAGTCTAAACTGGTTCTTCATTAGCATGGTTTTTCTGTTACTGCTGTGGACTGCATTGATTGCATAAGCTTGTTTAATCAAGCATAATCTTATCATAAAGTAATCACTCACCAGCCTGGTTGGTTGTGATGTCTATGGAGACATGCTGGGCAGGATACGGGCTCTTGTTGGTGACGCCGTTGACCGCCTGGATCTCAAAGGTGTAGAGAGTGTGTGCCAGCAGGTTACTGATGAAGACTCTGGATTCGGTCAGTCCCAGCTGCCGGGGCTGAAACTCAACGTTATCATCGCAATGGGAGCAGGAACGACGGTCCGCCTGGCATTTCTTACAAATAATATTATACACGACATCATCACGGCCGCCTGTCTCGCGCGGAGAGTGCCACTCCAGAGTCACAGATGTCTCATTCACAATGGAGATGACGTTTCTTGGTCCAGAAGGAACACCTGATGAGAAAGTATGAAGACACGTGAGATTCACTAAGCAAACTATGAAAATGTTGCTGCTAAAGAAATGATAACAGCAAGGATATCATTTGCATTTGTCTAGGCACTTTAAATTACATTACTGTAATTACAGTGCTGTAATTACAAGTCTTACAATGGATTTTTATTAAATTACACTTTTTACACTTGAATAATAGAAAATGACTCTTTTTAGATTCATTTTGTGAGTTGAAAAACTAATGCCTTTAGAAGACATATAATTGCATGATATGCTTACCACAGTGAAATAATTAAAGCATGAGAAAATGCATGCAAGAATGAGAGCACTTTTCTTTCATGAGTAAATGAAAATCATTTTAGCATTTAGCATTCTCCTCTTAAAGGAATATTTCACCCTGAAATGAATTTCTGCTATAATTTAGTATGCTTCACGTCACTGCAAACCCATATGACTTTCTGTCCTCCACTGAACACAAAAGGTGAAATTTAAGAGAAGTGTACTGGTCACGCTTGTTCATGCGATTAGCCTACAAAGAATGGAGACTAGAGCTGTGAAGCTTAAAAAAAATGAAATTATGAAAAATTACCCTATACAAGTTATACACTGTAGCTACATTTCCAAGGTTTCTGAAGTCATATGATAGCTTTGTATGACAAACAGACTAAAATTTCGATCACCATTTTAACTGATTATCTACTAGGATGACTGAATCAAATAAAGCTGAACTGAAAAACAGAATCAGTTTGATTCGTGAGTGCATGAATCACTTGAACAGAATCAGCCGACTCATTGAGAAGATCGGTCTTAAGTGATTCACAAATCATCTTTGCTTCTCTCAAACTGCCAAGATTTATGAAAAAAGGCCTAAATCTGGTCTGTATGAACCACTTCTCAGTCCACTTCTTTTGTGCTTCATGAAAGAAATTAAGTCATAAAGGTTTGGAATGGCATGATGGTAAGTAAATAATGATTTCTGAAGGATCATGTGAGACTGAAGACTGGAGTAATGGTTGATAAAAATTCAGCTTTGCATCACAGAAATAAAATACATTTTAAAGTATATGAAAATAGAAAACCATTATTTTAAATTAAAATAATATTTCACAATATTGCTATTTTTCTGTATTTTTGATCAAATAAATTCCACCTTGATGAGCATAAAAGTTTTCTTAAAAACATTACATAATTGTCTCTCAGCTATTAATGTTTCAATTCCCTGTGGCATTTAATTACATCTATTTTTATTTTTTCACTTGAGCTAAAAGTCAGCTGTTGATATGTGACAGTAAATATACATTTTCTACTCGAGTCGACTTCTAGAAAGTCTTACATAATGGAGCTGTGTTGTGCGTTTCCTTTTATCTGTGGTCCCAGAGTGATGTGTAACTGTTTATAATTACCATGCAGAGTGGCGGCCCCCGAGCGGCCGTACATCAGCCCACTAACTCAACACTGAGAGTGGCTTTTCCTCGCCAGTCAGAATAAGGGATAAAAACAAGGTTTTAGTAAAGTCTTTTATCCCAACCTCCTGGATTCATTCCTACACATTCGCCTTCCCACTATAGAGCCGCAGGGAAAAACCATATTGTGTTTCTGATAAAGCAATGACTTCCCCCAGCGCGCAGAACATCCGGCCAGGAACTGAGGATTTACAGATCACGGAAAGGTTGTGATGTTAACTATAGACCGCAACAGAACCAGACGAGAGCCAGGAAAAACTCTGGAACGGATATTAGGTTTGATTTTCGTGACCAGCCACTTCCACAAGAACATTTGAGTGAGTTCTCCTTGAAACATCAAACCTGGCCAGGAGACGTTCCAGCTCTTGAAGCAAGAGAAGAATGATTTCACTCAGACCGAGACACAATGAGCTATTGTGAAGGCAGTGTGAAGGCAGTGCCTTGTGGGATAGATCAGGGGCTACTGGGACCCTAAACTGGGAGAGCCGATGACAGAACTGACCTCGAACTCTGGCGACCCTGATGATTAGCCAATCAGGAGGCTTAAACTTGAACAGAAGACTTCTGACAGCTACACACAAATGTACAGACACACACACACACATACACACACATATATATATATATATATATATATATATGTGTGTGTGTGTGTGTGTGTGTGTGTGTGTGTGTGTGTGTGTGTATTAATAGATGGATGGATACATAGATGTGTGGACATGAAGAGATAGAATGATAGAACAACAGACGGATGGATGGATGGAACGATGGATAGATAGATAGATAGATAGATAGATAGATAGATAGATAGATAGATAGATAGATAGATAGATAGATAGATAGATAGATAGATAGATAGATAAACAAAACAAAAGCTAACAAAGCAAAAGTAAAGCTGACAAAACAAAAGTAAAATAATTACCAAAAAAAAACAAAACAAAAAAGGTTTTTAAATTATGTCCCAAATTTGGAAGGTAGCAGCAATGTCAAACCCCACAGAAAATTAAAAGAAAATTACATTTTAAATTTGACTTCCTGATGTTAATAGTCAACATTTTCAAAAGGCAATGAACCTCCACTGACTCCATTCACTTTTTACACTGAAAAAGGAGAAAAAAGTTCCTCATAGTCACAGGCTGTATTTTCTGCCCTATTCAGGAAACGGTGCACAGATATTTTCAAAAGGTCCGTGAGGGTCCATAAAGCAGCGGCTCTTTCTGCTCTGTTAGCAGGGAGTGTTTCATTCAGACAGTGAGCTGGTCACTATCCAAACAGCGAGGCTTTGCTTACACCACAGTTAACACCCAAAGCACTGTTTGATTAGGTGCTACGGCAGCAAAGATGTCTTACTCACTATATCTCACAGTCAGGCTTAAGAAAGGCAGAGGGAAAAAGGCAGAGAGTGAGAGACGGGAGGAGAAAAAGAGCAAGTGAAAAAGATAGATAGATAAACAAAACAAAAGCTAACAAAGCAAAAGTAAAGCTGACAAAACAAAAGTAAAATAATTACCAAAAAAAAACAAAACAAAAAAGGTTTTTAAATTATGTCCCAAATTTGGAAGGTAGCAGCAATGTCAAACCCCACAGAAAATTAAAAGAAAATTACATTTTAAATTTGACTTCCTGATGTTAATAGTCAACATTTTCAAAAGGCAATGAACCTCCACTGACTCCATTCACTTTTTACACTGAAAAAGGAGAAAAAAGTTCCTCATAGTCACAGGCTGTATTTTCTGCCCTATTCAGGAAACGGTGCACAGATATTTTCAAAAGGTCCGTGAGGGTCCATAAAGCAGCGGCTCTTTCTGCTCTGTTAGCAGGGAGTGTTTCATTCAGACAGTGAGCTGGTCACTATCCAAACAGCGAGGCTTTGCTTACACCACAGTTAACACCCAAAGCACTGTTTGATTAGGTGCTACGGCAGCAAAGATGTCTTACTCACTATATCTCACAGTCAGGCTTAAGAAAGGCAGAGGGGAAAAGGCAGAGAGCGAGAGACGGGAGGAGAAAAAGAGCAAGTGAAAAAAGAGGAGGTGGGCCATATCTGGAACTAGGCCAGAAGATGTGTGTGAAGAGAATGAGGCCATGAGATACAGCCAGCTCTAACACAATTAGCCGGTTCCCAGAGGAAATCCACACACACTAAGAGCAACTTCACTACATACACACACACACACACACACACGCACAAACACCACTATAAATGACATATGCACAACTGCACTCATACTGTACGTTTACCTCCTGGTATGCTATACTGTATGTGTGTGTGCATTCTCGAAGAAAGACCACCATTGCAGGATGGCATTTTGCATATGATTATTCTGCATTACAGAATGACATTGTTGTTGTTCTGTACCGATGAGGTCGGCCCCGGTTCTTACTGTATATCTTCAGCATCCTCCACAACTAAGCATTCAGAAACAGCCTGTAAAATAGGGAATCGCCCCACTGTGATAAGCACTAATTTTGTGGGCCCGTTATCACAAATACCCGATTAGTATAATTCCTTTAGTGAATGGGGTGCTAAAACTAACAGACAGTGTGTGCAAATTAATCGCGCTATCAGTGGGCGCAGTCTTGAGGAATTTCACTTTATATTGATATAAACTGGCATACTGCATAGTATATATAAACAAACAATTGCTCAATTTTGTAGCCGAAATGTTTGTGTAATAAATTTTATGTTGAATCAAATGAAATATTTCTTTCTAAAGCTACGTTTTTAATGTCTACTTGACACTTTTCTCGTTAAATAGAATAATAATGGCTTTAAATTATCTTTTTTTCTCTCTCTTACATACACACACACACACACAACTGCTGAAAATCAGTGTTAATTTCGTTGGCTATAATCATTTTCGTCCTAATTTTTGTGTCACTGTGTCACCGCAGTTAAATCGGTGTCTATCATGATAAAACCTTAATATCAAACCTATATAATGAGTTTGGACATTTTAGAGAAATGCTTAATAAATGCACCGTAACTAAACCCATTAGATTTTAGCCGACTAAATTTACTGTAGATTTAGTCGACTAAAATCGTATGATATTTAATCGACTAAAGCTAGACTAAAATGAAAAACAATTCAGAAATATGACTAAAACTCAATGGCATTTTAGTCAAAAGACTATGACTAAAACTAAATCAAAATTTGCTGTCAAAATTAACACTGCTGAAAATTCAGCTTTGCATCACGGGAATAAATTGCATTTTCAAATATTTTCAAATAGAAAATGTAGTTATTTCAAATGATTATAATGTATTACAATATTGCTGCTTTTACTGTATTTGTGATTAAATAAATGCAGCCTTGGTGAGCATTAGAGAGACTTCCTTCAAATATATTTAAAAACTCTTACTAACCCCAAATGTTTAAATGGTAGTGTAAATTGGAGAATAAGTCAATCTAATGACTTCTATTATGGCATATTCATTTATTATATAGATACATATTGGCAACTATTGATGTTTATTGTTGTTTTGGTGAATTTAACAACAATAACTTCTTGTTGAATAGTATGAAAACGTGTCTTTTTAATTAATTTTTTAACTTGGTATTTCATTTTTTTCTGTTTGCTTTCAACATTTTCAATCTATGTGACAACTACGGAGGTTTGACTGAAGAGATTCCTCCAAATATCAAAAAAGAGTTTTCTAACATGCTACCTTTGTTAATGAAATACAGACACCATCAACTTCTTGCAGTGTCAAGCTCACACACACACACACTGTGTTTGCGATGCTCTCTACAAGATTAAAACCAAATCCTGTGAGTGAGTATCAAAGCATCAGAGATGTGAGGATGAGCGGGACAGACACACTGAGGACCAGTGACAGACATGAGGAGATTAATCTGGAAATGGACATGTGGATGATAAGGAATCGACTGGCTGCTGCTTCTGCTGCTGGATTTATTGCACATTTAACTCTCTCTCGCTCAGACACACTGGCAAGAGGCCAACCAGACGAATGCTACCACTTCCTGTTTTGGACGATGAGGATAAATTGGTTTTGTTTTACAACACTTAAAACAAAAAGCTACACAATCTTTATTGAGCTTTTTCTCAGTGGAGTACTTCATGATGCAATTCCGAACTTAAGCGATTATACACTATCATTCAAACGTCTGGGAGTCAGATTTCTTTTTTTTTTTTTTAAGAAATTAAAACTTTTATTCAGGCAGGACAAATTAAATTGATCAAAAGTGACATTAAAAACACTTATGCTGCTACAAAAGATTTCTATTTCAAATAAATGTAGCTCTTATTAACTCTATTAATTTAAAATCCTGAAAAAAAAATGTATCACAGAAATATTAAGTAATACTTCTATTCAGCATGGACACATTTAATTGAACGTTTATAATGTTAGAATATATATATATATATAAAAATTAAAAACCCTGGGGGGAAAAAAAGGATCATAGACATATTAAGTATCACAAAAACTGTTTTCAACATAAATAATACAAAGAATTCGAGTATATACATGATACTAATTATATATTATAAACTATGATCCTTGTCATTTGAGAAGGATCTTTTTTAAGAACATGATGTTGTAGTTAATAAATTGCTAGTTTCTGAATTTTGCACATTTACAATGTGTCCTAGCTCCCAAAACATGATTTTAAATGTATTTTAGACTGGAATAAGCCTGTTTATTAGTAAACGATAGAGAAAAGAGCTTTTCTTCAGCTAAGGCAAACTTCAGCTAACTCAAAATTTGTGATAAGTAATGTAAATACAATTACACTGTAGGTCAACTGACTTCATGCATCCACTAAAATTCATTGCAACAAACGGCTCGGAAAAGTGAAGATAGATCTGAGGAAAGCTCTAGCATCATTTGTTTCCAGACATTTGACTTTTTAGGGCCTCTGTGAGTGTGTGTGTGTGTGTGTGTGTGTGTTTGCACATCCGTTTATGTGTGCGTGATGGTTTGTGGCACTGTGCGACACGCGGGCTGCA